AATGATGGTGTAGATACCAGGGGACCAGCCCAGTACAGACTACAGCGATGATCAGCTGGTGGGTTTTTCCATCTGGAACATAAATATTTACTGATGTTTTCTGCGCAGTATTCTTGTTCCCACCAAATTCCTCCACAATCAGTTGTTATATGGGGCCATCCCTAATGTTGTATGGGGCAAGCATCAAAAAATAGTAAAACACTCTTTTGTCCTGGCTCCCATTTCTGGGTATCTAAGACCTGATATTGTGAGTCAAACATCAGGTCTGGTGTATATTCTAGCTTCAAGCACCCATTATCCAGGTTGGCTACCCAGTACATTTACATTGGTTAGGACAAACAAAATAGGACAGCAAACACCAGCATGAAACCCAACATATGGCTAAAAGAAAACATTTTTGGGAATTGTTCCAGTCCTTTGGAGTAACAGTCACTAAGCCTATTCCAAGAATAAAGGCAGTCACTATTGAGTTAGGCAAGAATAGAGATGTCAGGGAAAAGATCAAGTCTGGAAAGCGTGGAAGTAGTTCATGGATTGAGGTCCCTAGCTTTAGCCATGTGTTGGCCTGTCAGTGTCCGGAATAACAGGACCAGGGCTTTGAGTGCATTGTCTCCTTGGGGTGATCTTTAAGGGAGTTGTCTCGTCGGTGTGGGCCTCTCAGGAGTCATCATGATGGGGCTTTTTGACTCGAGAGTGATGAATCCAAGGCTGGATCTCTGAAACTTTAACAGCTTCATCTAGTAGTCTCAATTGTTTACCATGTTGGCTCCTCACTGTGTTGGCTCCTGGACGGCTGGTGCTGGGGGGCCCTATCTAACTGTCTACAAGATATCTAATTAACTTACCTATAGTATTTTTCTCTCCAAAGAAGTACCCCTAACTAGTGTGAGGGGGAAAGGGGCGAAGACTGTTCTGAGTACTTTCAGCTGAGGAGGGTCATAGTTGTGATCAGCAGTCAGAGAAACTCTATAGAAGGTCTATCTATAGGCCTCCATTAGGTGTCAGACATTGTCATCTTGGGTAGCTTTAATTCTGGAGGAGACAAACCAAAGAAACAGTTAGGAATACGTGGGCTAAATAATAAGGTCACCAGGGTTGTTATGAATATAGCCAACAAGTGTCTTCACCAGGAAGAACTAGTAACAGCCTTCCATAAAGAAGATAAGGAGAAGGTCTGATCCAGGGGACTTTAGAATCCAACACAGAAGTCTTATTGTAGTTTAGCAGTTATGAACTTTTTACAAGGTCAATCTGGTGGATCCTGGTAAAAGAAGTCTAGCACATTGGTCTTTGGTTCAGTTTGTCTGACCATTTGGAGTTTGGCAGCCTATTTGATCTTAGACTCTTATTGATGGAGGTTATCTGTAAGTCTGACATTTTGTCATAAGTCTCTCCAGTCTTAGCTGTAAGATAATTTGTATATGTGCTGCCAAACAGAGCACAGGATAGCGATAATTTGAAGGACAAATTTAGCTAAGATATTTAAAATGCTAGTTGAGCTTTTATAGATTTTACCATAGTTTTTTCTAATGAACCATAACTGTGGTCAGCTGCCAGTGTAGCTGGAAACTGCTAGAGGGGGTTAGCGATTAAAGCCCCCTTTTATATCTAGCTTTATTATTATGGCATTACTTTATACCTCTTTTGGTTATTCTTTTCTGCTAGGTGTTTAAGACCAAGTTAAAGTGAGACCTGTGTCAATCCGTATGAACCTCTTGTTGTCTATCAAGGTCAGTTAAGTCTCCTCAAGCATTATTTTGGAATCATGTATAGAGCCTCTCAGCTCCTGTCAGTTTCAGCCATCAGGATGAGTCATGGCCTTGCATGACCATAGTGTTTTCAGTGAAAGCATGGGAGACGTTTTTCTTTTTGTGACCCTCCTATGGCGCAAAGTACATTTGTCCTCTGGTCCCTAGCAATCTCCTTGTTCAGGAGGTTGAGTGACTGACCAAAGATGTAGGACCCTGTAGGAAAGGTTCCTTTGTGTCCTGGATCTTTGTTGACCTTGAGGGGCCAGGGCCAAAATATTGGTTGTCCTTTTACCCCAGTTAGCTTTTTAGTTTTAGTCTCCAAACTTTAGTTGTTGAACACCCAGAAGAGAAGGTCACTATTACAATTTTGTTTGGGCATTAAGCACTTTTGAAATGTAAAGTACAGTTAGAGGACTGTTGTTTTTGTCAACCATGGTTGTTTTATTTTATTTATTTATTTATTTTTGGTACTGGGGATCGAACTCTGGATCTTGCGCTTGTGAGCCAGGCGGTGAAACCATTGAGCTAAATCCCCAGCTGACCATAGTTGTTTTAGTAGTTGAATCCCGGTAGAATGTTAACAGATAACAGTTATACATTATATAGAAAAACTTAAGATCAAGAACCACACGTAGTATTTTAGCATGACAATCACGATGACATTATCTTTGTAACACACTCAAATGTGTATCTTAGTGTAAAATAGCCATTGTTAAATGTACTCATTCCCTTCCAAAAACACATAAAAAACCAGGAAACTCTTACTTAAATTATTACTTTTTAATAGGACATCATCCAAAGAAAGTGTATGGACCTATAAATGTACCTGTTATTGTGAGTAGCTGGAGCATAAGAGAAGGGCAAATACCTGGATCAAAAGGAGGTTGTTATCATAAACAATCTGTTGGCAGAGCTGCACAGTCAGAAGACATGAATACATTTTGTACACCAGAAAGGTAATGATAATTATTATTACAATTATATGAAACCTTATGTCCTATAATGTAGCTTGGTACTTAAAGGATCTTTTTTAATAACACCTAGTTTTTTCCACCAAAAATTTTGTTTTGAAGATGACCAATATAAACATATTACAATAACATATTTAGAACTTACCCCTTTGATGACAACCAATGCAAACATTTTATAATAATATATTTAAACAATGTTTATTGGGGGTGTGTCTTCCCATAAGGCTGTGAAAATTACTGGGGCTCCCATTATTGAACAAAGACCAGAGATAACTTTTCTGAGCACCTGCTTCTTTTATTTATCAAGGGGAGTCCCATAGCCATCTCCCCAAACCTAAAAGCCTCATTTAATTACCTTGACAATTTTTACTTAGCCTGTAAAAACCAGATTGTAACAACTAACAAATTATTTATAACCAATTATATATATATGTATACTTTTTGAGTTATTGAATGTAGACAGCAACATGCATTACAATCAAAATTAATCTTTGATGACCCTTTGATTAGCTAGCTAGCAACCTGGGAGAAAAGGAAGACATTTCTTTAACTTTAATAACATTTGTTCGGCTGGGGATTTAGCTCAGTGGTTCCAGCGCCTGCTGTGCAAGTGCAAGGTCCTGAGTTCGATCCCCAGTACCAAAAAAATAATACTAATAACACTTATGTGTAAGTCAATTTAAATTATAGGCAAATGTTTTTAAGGAAAAAGAAATTTTGTTGGGCTGAAACAATTGGACAGACAAACACAAACATATAAGACAATTTATGAAACGAGTACACTCAAATATATTTGGCCAATTTGACTTATAACATCTCTTGTAATTAAGACTAGTCAAAACTTTTGTAGGTCAATTAATAGAGATCTCTTGTAATTAGAATCAGAAGGAATAAAGCACTTTATACCTGTAAGTGTAATCTTTTATAACAAGATAGTAATAGAAAAGTAGCATAATCTTGTGTTATAGTTATTGTCAGAAGTCTGTAAGCAGAAAGTAGAGAGAAGAGCAAGTTCATCCTATAATTACAATTTAAGAATTTGCAATGTAAAAGAAATGTTTCAAATACACCAATAAAACATCTGGAAACCAAACACCAATTAAACATTACTTTAAGCTGGAGACGAAAGGTACATATGTCAATTAGCCAGAATTTAGAATTTGATTTTTTTGTTTGTTCAAGTTTCCCCTGCCTGGCTGCCTATGCACCAGGGCATAATGTAATTTCTTGTTAGTGTAGCCCGCCAAGCAAGTTGTTGATATGTAAATAGGCAGAGCCAGAGGAGAACCCATTCTTGGCGGGGGCGGTGAGTCAGTAAAAGCAGGCAGCACCTTAAAAGGCTCCCCCGCCTGTCTGTAAAGAATAAGGAAGCTTGTGCCATGTGGAGAGTTGGAATTTCTTTGTTCTCACAAGGCAGAAGTTCGAGCCTGCAGCGGTGCAGAAAAAGTTGTGCATTTTACTTTCAACCATGCAGACAAAGAAAGTGCTGTAATATTTTCCTCAAGGGTTCTGCCATCATCCTCCCAATTGAGGCCTCGCATACATTGTGATGGATTTTTTTCCTTGGACCTGCTTAAGAGCCTGTAAATACTTTAACAAGGATTCATCAGTCACCTCTTCCAAGGTGGGGTCCTTGATTCAGGGAAGCAAAGGAGGAGGTCTACCAAACATGATTTCAAAAGGAGTGTAACCTGCTTTGTAGGGAGTACAACATGCCTGAAGGAGGGCTAGGGGAAGGAGGTTGAGCCAGTTTTCACCAATTTCCAAGATTAATTTGGATAAGGTAGTTTTGAGAGTCTGGTTTATCCTTTCTACTTGCCCTGAGCTCTGGGGTCTATAAGCACAATGGAACTTCCAGTCTATTCCTAAGGCAGGTCCATTATCTGATCCTATGCTAATTGGAAGCCAATACCTAGTGATAGGTCTCCCACCACCTCAGCAGCTATTATGTATAATAGCTGCCCTCTTCCTATGGTGCCTTGCCCCCTCCCCTGTGTGACATCATGCCAAGATGGTTGCTCCCACCAAAGAATAAACCCTTCTTCCCACTATGCCTCTGTTCCCGCCTAGAAAGTAACCTAATACTCGCTCACCTCCTACCACCTAGTGACATCACCGGATCCTCCATTCCCTAGTCACTGCCTCACTCAACCCCACCTCAGCCCCTACAAACCCCACCCCAGTCTCTATAAAACTCTCCCTGCCCCGGCCATATTGCTTTTGCCTCTCCTTTGTTCAGAGACAGCCTGGCAGATCTATTCCCCTAATAAAGGCTTGTTGTGGCCTGGTCTGGTCTTGGTCTTCGGCCCTTTTACCTGACACCTAGGAACAATCTCCTGTAACAGCTTCTTGGCTACCACTTGTGCAGTTTCCCTCTTTGTTCGCCATGATTCCACCCATCTTGAGAATGTGTCTATCATCACTGTTAAGTACCTGTATCCTATTGTAGGTGGCTTTAGTTCAGTGAAGTCTACTTCGTAATGCTCTCCTGGGCTTAACCCATGTAGCCTGATTCCCACTTCCCTATTCCTACCTTGTTTGGCATTCACCTGAGAACACTCTGGATACCTCATGGTCACTGAGCGAGCCAAGTCACAGAGGCCGGGGTTTTGTAAAAAACTGGGAAGACAAGAGATCAGTTAGTTTGGTCTCCCCTAGGTGGGTGGTAGAATAGAGCTGCTGGACTGGCTCTTTTCCCAAGGTGGCTGGTACAATGATCCTTCCATCATATCTTTCCCATCACCCCTGTGGTTGAGGAGGGTCCCACTTTCTTTTGCTTGATTCTCCACTCCGAAGGTGTAAATGGGGTCTTTTGGCAGAGTGGGTGGTGGGTAGACAGTATAGTCAGATCCTTGATGGCCTCCACTGGGTCCAGGGCAGCTTCTCCAGCTGTCCTATCAGCCAGGCGGTTCCCCACAGCCTCGGATGAGTCATCATTGTGGCACCCTCTGCAATGCATCACTATTACCTCAAGGGGGAGCCACACAGCCTCAAGGAGGGTCAAGATTTCCTCGTTCTTAATCTCTTTCCCAGCTGATGTCAAGAGTCCCCTTTCCTTAAGGAACATCGCATGGACATGAATGGTGGCAAACGCGTATCTGCTGTCTGTTTAGACATTGATTTTCTTCCCTCTTGCCCATCATAGTGCCTATGTGAGTGCAATAAGATCTGCCTTCTGAGCAGATGTACCCGTGGGGAGGGCCTGAGCACAGATGATTTCCTTTTGAGTGGTGAATGGTTGCCCCAGCTCTGTGGACCCCTTGATCAATGAAACTACTCCCATCTGAAAACAGTAACCTCGGCTTTGTCCAGGGGAGTGTCTCTGAGGTCAGGCTGGCAAGCCTGGGTAAGATCTGGGAGGTCCTAGCAGTCCAGGTTGTCATCTGGCAGCAGGGTAGCCAGGTTGATGGCCTGGTGGGGCAGAAGGTGAGCCTGGGCTGATCTAGGAGGAGGCTCTGGTATTGAGTGATTCGATAGTTTGACATCCAGAGGCCAGTGGCCCCCTTGGAGCAACACCTCTACAGCATGAGGGGCTGTTATTTCCAGCTCCTGGCCCAATGTCAACTTATTGGCCTCTCAAACTAGGATGGCAGTTGCAGCTACTACCCTTAAAGAGGAAGGGCATCCAGAGGCCACAGTCTCTTTGACAGATAAGCCACCAGCTTCCTCCATGGCCCCAGATTTTGAGTCAGGACTCCTTTCACTATGCCTCAAGCCTCGTGTACAAATAGTCTGAAAGGTTTAGTTACATCAGGCAAAGCTAAGGCTAGGGCTGTCACCAGGGCCTCCTTTAGCACCTGGAATGCTTTTGGTTCTTCATCAGTCCATTTGAATGGCTCAGTTCCCCCAGCCTTAGCTGAATACAAGGGCCTGGGAATCTCAGCAAACCCCAGTATCCATAGCCTGAAGTATCTAGCAGCCCCCAGGAATCCAAGTACCTTGGTGGTTGGAACAGGTGTCTGTAAGATGGCTTGCTTCCAAGCCAAGGAGAGGCTATGCTTACCTTGATGGAACTTGTGGTCTAAATAAGTCACTTCCTTCTGGCATAATTGTGCTTTTTCAGCTGAGACCTGATACCACAGTCATTGTAAAGTGCCAATCAAGTCCCTTGTTCCATCTAGACAGTCCTGGGAGTTCTTGCTGCAAGAAGCAAATCATCAGCATATTGAAGAAAGATAGTTCAGAGTGAGTAACTTGGAATTCAGTCAGGTCCCACTGGAATGCTTCTCCAAAGAAGGTAGGAGAATTTTTGAAGCCCTGTGGTAGATGAGTCCAGGTGAGTTGACCTGTCTCCCCTGTCAGGGGATCTGTCCATTTAAAGGCAAAAATAAGCTGACTCACAGACGCTAGTGGGATTCTAAAGGACATTCTTCAGATCCAACACAGTGTATACCTGATGGTCAGGAGGCAGCAGGATTAACAGGGTATAGGGGTTTGGCACAATGGGGTGCACAGTCTCTACCCACTTATTTACTTCCCTCAGGTCCTGCACCAGCTGATAGTCTAAAGTTCCTGGCTTCTGGACCGGTAGAAATGGGATGTTCCATGAGGACCTCCATGGAGTTAGTATACCTGCTTTGAGAAGCCTCTGGATGTGTAGGGCAATCTTGAGCCTGGCCTTCAGACTCATAGGATACTACCAATATCCTAACTGGTATGGCCGTTCCCAGAAGCATCACTACTGGAAGGGGTGTGTGTGTGTGTGTGAAGGGCTGCTAGTCCCAGTGGGTTAGTCTCGGCCTAGACACCAGGATACTCAGACTGTACCTGCTCTAACAGAGAACTAGAAGAGGGCTTCTCTTCTGTATCAGGAAACAGCAAATATTTTTCAGACAAGGCAATGGTGAATACCAACTTGGGTTGGGGGCTAAGGCTAGCTGGGATTCAGTGGGGGTAAAGGTGATGGTAGCCTTTAGCTTCTGGAGTAGATCTCACCCTAGTAAGGGGAAAGGGCACTCCAGGACCACCAGGAAAGGGTGTGTAACCCATTTGTGTCCCAAGTCCACAGTTCTTTCAACAGTCATTGGATATCTCTTGTTATCCCCTGTAGCCCCCAGATAGTAACAGTTTGATCAGAGAGGAGCCCAGATGGATCCTTCAGAATGGAGATCTTGGGTCTTGTATCCACTAGGAACTGGGTGGAGTGGCCCCCTACCATTCCAGTGACCATGGGCTCCCAGTGGCCAAGGGTGAAGGAGCCCCCGGCCCTGTCAATCTTCTTCTTCACCCTCAGTGGGGGAGGACTAACACCTTTTTCTTATCTCCATTCTTTTCTCCTACTCTGCATTCATTTTTCCAGTGTCCAAACTGTTCGCACCTAGCACATTGATCCTTCCCTGATTGGAGGCATCTCTTCTCAGTCCCTCGCTCCTGTCTACTTGGCCCTGCTGGTGGTCCCCTTATGGCTGCAGCCAAGATCTTTGCTTGCCTTCTAGACAAAATTTCGGCCTGCTTTCTGGACGCTAGTTTGGCCTGTTTCTGTTTTTCTGAGTCCCAGTTATAGTAAACTCTTTGAGCTATTTCCAATAGCTGGGAAGTATTCATCCCTGCAAACCCTTCAAATTTCTGTAACTTTCTCCTTATATCTGGAGCAGATTGTCTGACAAAGGCCAAATTTACCACCCAGGTATTTTCAGAGGCCAATAGGTCAAAAGGAGTACACACCCAGAAAGCCTCCAGAAGTCGCTTGAGGAACACTGAATTACTTCAGTGGTTTTGGACAAATTAATTGGCTTCTGAGCTGCCACTCAGAGCCCATCCATTACAGCCTGGTGGTACCGCTCCAATGCCTCCTTTTCCTCTTCCATGTTGGTTTCCCAGTTGGGTTGGGTGGAAGGAAAAACCCCATTAATCCTTGCCCAGTGGGTCTCTCTGATACCCCAGCCAGGACCAGGGAATCTCCGAGTGGGTTTAATCTGTTCCCACTCCTCTCCAGTAAATAGCATCATCTCAACTGCTGACAGTCATCCCAGGTGGGTTGGTGGGTTTGTAGAACAGAGTACAAGAGCCCCAACAATGCCTGGAGTTTATCAGAAAAAGGAGGATTTGGGGACTTTCAACTATACAAGTTGGAGGAGGAGAAAGGAATGTATACCAGGAAGCAATGGTCAGAGTCTCCTGCAGGGGATGTGCCTGTCTTAAGGGAAGAACAGCAGGTGGATCCCAAGATATCAGTCAGGAACTGGGAGGTGACAATGCCTCAACAGGGCTGAGGGTTCTGAGGAGAAAACCTTGGAGGAGGCCACAGGGCCAGGTGAGTTATAGGGGGGAGGCAATTCATCATCCCCATTGTCTGAGGGGGGGGCAGACCAAGTGATTAACACCGGCACCTGTGGCCAACTCATGGCACAGGCCCATAGCCAGGGTGGTGGATGAAGCATCAGCGTCAACCATAAATCAATGTAAGGGTACTGGTCAGGGTGACCTGGCTTCCCTGTTACTAATTCCCAGATCTGGTGAACCACCTTGGGGTCTAAAGACCCTGAATCTGGACATCCCACATCAAAGGTGAGCCACTCTAGTTCACACAGAGTCCATAATCGACCCCTTTTCAGAGGGAAGACATGACCTAAAACACTTGGAACCTGGGAAATAAGTTGGACACAAAAGGAAAAGACCACCCTTGTAGGTCCCAGGGACTCTAGAAACTTAACAGATATGGCACCAGGAGAGTCTGGGGAGGGTGACCTTCCAAATTCTGGACCAGATAACCTCTGTCAGTAACTGTAATAGTAGTGGTGTTGCCATTCCTCAAAGCAGAAAAATTCCTAGAAAGACTGATCTTGGACTTGACCCAAAATCATCAAGAGACACAAATCCTGGAGAGAGCAGATGTTTTGGAATCCCAGAAAGAAATACACGGAGACACAGAATTCAGGTAAAATAATAAAAGTTTACCTGCAAGCAGGCAGGACCGCCAGAAACTGGTCTGGTCAGAGTCCACACTGTCCTTTGTTTTAACATTTCCTTTTATATCTTCTTTTAGCCATTACCTCATTCCTGGTGGTCTTAGTTAATAAAATTTGTTTCCCTTTTACAGCTAGTTAATGGTTATAGTCACAGACATATAACAAACAGATGGCACTTAAAACACATACATTGTAAACTACCCAAACATTTCTACTTTGTTTTTCTCCAGGTTAAATGTTATCTACAGCTAGGTTACAGGTCAAAGGGTCAGTTAGCCATCACCTTAAACAACCAGAGTTACGGGAAAGGTAAATCTTAAAGGAATGCATTGCTTATTCTACTTCAGCTACCTTAATAACTAACCAATAGTTTAAATTTTCTCTATCACAGAGAGTCCCTCTTTTGAGTCAGAATTGATGGAAGGTACAAATCACATCAAAATTGGGGAGATAATTCCAAACCTATAAGAGTCTATGCCCCAACCCAGTGGGAGCCTGGGATTGATGAGGGCAAAAATATGAAGTCTGAGGAGAGGACTGCACACAAAATCCTCACGGTAAGAAATGAAAGAGGGTGTCTGTCCCGGAGAAAAGACAGGAGAGTGGCAGAACAAATGAATTATGAGGGAAATCTCATCCTTTCCTGAAACACAAAGACCACTGAAAGGATTTGTCTCTTGACAGGTGAGACCAAGAGAACAAGTTAGAAATGGAGGTGGTGCTGAACACTTATGACCAAGACAAAAGGGACATTTCTTTTGACCAAAACCAAGCCTCTGAATCAACTCTATCTGATTCCTTCCTAGTGTCTTCCCACCAAGTGTCGAAAAGAATTCAGGCCCCAAGTGACGAGGACACAAGACACAAGACATGAAAACGAAACCTTCAGCCACCACTTGGCTGCCTGTGACTGCCACTACTGGCCACTGAGGGTCGTCTGCCAACCTCTCATCTCCAGTCCTCTATCACCCCGGGACTTCCCAGTCAGTGTCCCAACCTTATCTTGGGAGAGTCCGTGAAGGGCCCTTGTCAGGGTTATCTTTCGTCCTGAAACTGAAAAAGGAAACCAAAAACAGACATTAATAAACACTTACTTCCAAGTGGAGGATTCTTGAGGACTCCAAAATTTTCTGTCACCGTTGGGTCCAGTGGTCCTTCTACGTCCCTCTGGCTTGTGTCCTGTATATGAGGGCCCTGGAGCGTCCCAGGGGGCGCCTCCTCCAGACTCAGCCGTTTGCATGGAGAGACATGGTAGGAGGCCAGCCTGGGACAGCGGCTGAGTTATCTTGCTGGGGCCTCCAAGAAATGTTATATTTAGCCCAGCAGCAGAGACTTACGCCACAAGGAAGGCCGAAATTATGAGTTCTTTATTATAGATGGTGGCCAAGGGCAAGCTCACGCTCCCAGCTCCCTTGACCCCAAATGAGCATTTACAGCAAGCTTATAAAGGCAAAAACCACGCACAGGTGGCTGCTGTGGAACATTCTGACCATATCTTTTGTAAGCTCAGGGGTACAGAAGCAAATCACCAAATTAGATGAAAACCCAATTTCCAACATCTGACAAGAAATGCCTATATTTATGGCTACAGCTGTAGTATATTATGTCCTTTGTTCTTAGCCAAACAGGATATGGTATGTTCTGGTATATTGAACACACAACTCAGAGGAAGGGGAGCAGAGGTCAGGCATGAGTCATCATGGAGATACCCTGGCTGAGATCCCTTATTTCAACTACAAAATAAGACAAGATGAAAGTTGACAGTTGACTCTAGATAAACTTAACCTAAGGGCCACTCTTTTTAAAGAAGGCTTTTTTTTTGCGATACTGGGATTGAACTCAGGACCTTGCAAATGCTGTACCACTGAGCTAAATCCCTGGCCCAGAGCTACTCTTTTTGAAACTCTGACATTGCTCAAATTTGGCAAGATCTTAGGACACTGACTTCAATTGTCTGTTACATCCACTTCAATGTGAGTATGTTCTGACTGACCATCAACAGGGAACATTACCATTGCCGCTGGGAATAGGCTCCAGATGCTAAATTGGCAGTGACTTCTGAAAAGGAAAAATACATTCACAGATGAGGGTAGGGGCTGGAGAAGTTGTGAGCATCAAAGTTACCTGTGTGTCAACAGTACCAAAACATGTAGATCTGTAAAGCTGATAAAAAGGGTTCTTGCACATGATTTTCTAAAAGCAAAAAAGTCCTTCTAACGGGTGTGATGGTTAGATTGCCTGACTTTGACTTTCTTTTCTATTTGACTTCACAATTTTTGGTGTGATGCTTTTTCAGGCTCAAGCATCAGGCTTCCCTTTTGCTTACACTCTAGGTACCATTGATGATAACACACCAGTCCAACCTGAGACAGCCAGCCAGGTGATGGGATACCTCAAGAGCCTCAAAATTGAGGGCTGAAGTAATCAAGGGGGAATTGTATCCTGCATTGCAAAATAGAACTTTAAAAGTTAGGTTTTTCCTTTAGAGATAACTGGCCTCTTGAGGCCTGGGGCATAAACAGCTCCCCTCACTTCTCCTCAGATGAATAAATAAAATATGCAGATGCTGAAACCTGGAGGCCTGGAGCCTAGTTTTCTTTCCACAAGAAAGGGAACAACCAAGCTAAAGATGGGTAAAAGTGATAAAAGGAAGTGTGGAGATTTGCATTATCTCTGTACTCCCCCTCCCTTTTGCTCCTTACAATAAGACTCCTGTCCAACTGTAGGAGGAGAAGAGATGGTTGAGAGGGAAACAGGCTCCTCCATTACCTCACAAATAGCTCCTTTTTCCTTTTTACCCGAATATAGTCTGATTTGATCACTGGCCAGCAGATGAAACTGAGTCTATGAGCCTAAATGGCAGGTAATGGTTTCTTAATAATTCTATCCTACTGAACAACCTTTTGTGCATTACTGTCTCTTTCCTCACCTATTTAATAATCATTTAGCATTCACTATGCTGGTAGAGTAAAATGAGACCAATATACTAAGGCCTTGAGCCAGATGTTAGCAACTAATTTTATTTTTAAACTAACTCCCGGAAAGTGCATGCATTTGGGGCCATTGCAGACAGGCACGGATGCTCAAGATTAGAGTGTGTGTGTTTTAGGAAATATATCTGAATTGGGTTCTTATACAAAATATTTGTTTTGATAGTGCTTATCTCTTAATTATTTAAAATATGTTGTCTTACATTTTTCAATTTGTATTATTGGTGTTCACTTCAGACATCTTGCTTCCTATTATCTAAAAAAATAAATGGAGAGAGGGATGGTACTTCACATATACAAACCCAGCATACTGGGAGTCTAAACCAAAGGGTCACAATTTCAAGGTCAAAATGGACAATTTAGTAATGGGCCGGGGATTTAGCTCAGTGGTTCTGCCACCTGCCTTGCAAGCACATGGTCCTGAGTTCAATTCCTGGTACCAAAAAAATAAAATCAGATAAAAGAGCTGAAAACCAAGACCAGACCAGAACAACAAGCCTTTATTGTAGGGACGATCTGCCAGGCTGTCTCCAAAGAAAGGAGAGGCTGTCTCCAAAGAAAGGAGAGAGAGCAGTATGGCTGGGACATGGAGCGCTTCTTATAGGAGTTGGGGTGGGGGTTTTAGGAGCTGGGGTGGGGTCGAGTGATGTAGTGGCTAGGGATTGGAGAAGCCTGTGACATCACTAGTTACTAAGAGGTAGCAAGTATCAGGTTATTCTTTTGGTGGGAAGAGGGGCATGTTCCGAAGGTTGTCTTTTGGCAGGTGAAGCCATGTTTTTAAGTGGGAAGCAGTGTATTATGGGAAGGAAAAGGCTGCCATTTTATGTAGCAGCCATCTTAAAGTGAGGGAAATCTAACATTCCAGGCTTTTTGTTTTATGGTTGGGCGAAGCTCTCTTCTTCTGGAGCTGCTTCAAGCTGACAAAGGGGTGAAAGTTGGGGCTAAACCTGGATCTGATGGGGGCAGTGGTAGATGGGGGCTTCTTCCCTCTGCTGCAGTGGCTGGTACCCCAGCATGATGAGGTCTCTGACTGTCTGGTTGGTAAATGCCCTCATGCGTCCCTGGAAGAAATTTTGAAAACAGCAAAACAAGCATGGTCCAAAGCAGAGGATCAGACAGATAATACTGAGGGGTCCTAAAAGCAGTAATAGCCAGGGAAGCCATGAGCTCCAGGAACCAAATGTATCCCACCATTGATTAGCACCTTGAGGGGCATATCTGGCCCACTGAGTCCTTAGTCTTTCCCTCATTTGATGTGTAATTTCTCTCACCACTCTGGATTTATTGGCCTAGTAGCAACATTCTTCCTTTAAAAAGGCACAGGTTCCTCCCTGTTCTGCTGTGAGGACATCAATGGCCCTTCTATTTTGGAGTGTTACTTCCACCAGGGAGCCTATCTGTTGCTGCAAGGTATTGATGGCCTCCTGTGTGGTGTCAAGCTCCAAATGAATTTGATACCCCAGATCTGTAAGCTGTTTTTGTCCTAGTGCAGTGGCACTCACTGTTACACTTCCTGCTATAGCTATTCCTGCCAGTATGGGTAGGATTATGGGATCCCTTTTTTCCCGGGAGAGTGTGGGAGGGGGTAGCCCTCCTTCCCCAGGGTATACATCAATGTCTGGAATTAGAAAGGCTATAGCACATAGTCCCATGGTGGGACTTGTACATGAGGAATAAACCCCATCATAGCATATTATGAAGGTTCCAGCTGGAGGCACTAGTGAACTGTGGGTGACATTCTGGACCTCAAAACAAGAGGCTATTACTTCTGCTGTATGGCTTGCCCCCTTAAACATGAGGCATTACCCCAGACCTTGATTGAGTGGAGCTGAAGTAACTTTCCAGGAGAGTTAGTCTGATTGAGCTATTGATTTGGCACCGTTATCCCTAGGGCCCTGTAATATAGTCTTGTAAGGGGCACACATGGCCAGCAGTCATGTCCTAGCTGTGGGTTTACCGCCTGGAGAATGCCATGGGTGGAATTTAGGAGTTGTACCAGGTCTGAATTTAGAAAAATGTCTTGTTCAGGCAGAGTATGTGAATTATTGTGTGCTGGCTCTGGTTTTGGGGGAGCTAGGAGAACCACCTGAGGCCTGGGTTGCGGTACCCTTATTTGTGGAGGAGGGTGCCAGACCTTTTGTATGGTAAAGAGTTGTCCTGGATCGCCCTGCCAGACACTTTTTATTGAGACCCGAATGCCCCCATGGCATCCTATGGCCCAATCAGGGTCTTTGGGGTCTTTAATAGTGTAAACCATTGGATTGCAGGTCCCCTGTGAACAATTTGGTGGTGTTGGAAGGGAAACCAAGGGAGAGACAGTATCTCCCTGATATTCCCTATAGCACTCACTCCCTTTGTGGCACTAATATCCTCCAGGGCTATAACACCCCTCCTCCCTGAGAGGGTAGCATTTACATCCTGGTCCCGGACGTGGGTAGCAACCAGGATACCATGTCTGGTATCTACAATAACTCCTTATTGACTGTTTCCATTCTGGACAGAAGTACTTTTTTAGTTTTTGGTAACTGCGTTCAACATTTAAGTTTGTGCATCCAGTTGACCAATGGCCTTTGACCTTTTCAGGGCATGCATCAAAATAGACTGAGACTTGGGATTGGGAAGGGTCCCAGTGAGACTGGTTGATGATGATAGGGGGATCAGTTTTATATAGCTATACTTGGAATGTCCAGTGTCCTGTTAGGTCTCTGGTTCAGTTGCATCCCCCTCAGTTAGAATAAGCAATGTAAAGCACCAAAACAGAAAATGATAATCCAGTATATAATTATGCAAAGACATTTTTGGAAAAGACTCTAGGGTTTTGGGGGAAATTATGGTATGGATCCCAGAGCACATGATCGGATGGTGATAAGTCCTGCCAGGAGAAGAAATAGAAGGGCAAAGAGACTTTTTTGTGTTTGAGACCAGTCTTGGAGTGAGACAGAAAAAAGCCCAATTGCCCAAACAAAAGACAAGGCTATGTAGAAGGCTAGAAAGGCTGGATAACAGGTTAACTTGTGGGTATCTCACAAAAGTGGAGTGAGGGTATCTTTAACCAACAGAGGTGGAGGAATGTTAACAAGCAAACTTCATCAGATGAAAAGTCTGAGAGAGTGCCTTGGAAGCAGAGGTCTTTGATCCAAAGAAGGATCTCTTCAATCATGTTACTTTGAGGGTCAAGCCAATGAAGGTTTTGTAGTGTAGAGATGAAGTCAGAGAAGTGGGATGTCAGTCAGGGAAGGAACATGAGATCATTTACTCTTCAGGGATGTGAGTGAGCTTGATCTTGGTGGGTCCTGTTAGAAGAGAAGAGCATCTGGAAGTTTTAGGTTGTTTTTTAAAATGGTCACTGGAGAGCCAGAGGGGCTTTTTATCCTGGAGAGGTGAAACCAGGGAACCCTTTCCTGAAGCTTTACCACTGTAGGAGTGGTTAAGGAAACAGTGAAAGGTCCTTCCCAGCGAGGTTGGAGGGGCTTTGGGGAAAGGGTCATGAGATATACCTGGTCAACTGGGGAAAGAGGAGAATGTAGAGTGCCTGATGAATCAGGAGAGGCAAGTTTTATCCGCTAGGGTCTGAAGGAGGTGACAAGTGTAATTAAGTGTTGGCATGTAGTCAGGAAGAGGTGGTGAGGGATCAGATAAGTTAGGAAACAGGAGAGGTCGCCCATACATTAACTCAAAGGGAGTTAAATTTGCCTGGGTCATCATCCTGGTAAGTCCAATCAGGTTGGGTATCTGGTACTGCCTGTGTGCCCACTAGCTTGGTTGGGTCTGTGGCATGAAAATCATCTGGTGCTGCCTGGGCTGTCCTCCAGACCCTCTGGTGCTCCTCTGGGGAGACAGTGATTGAGAGAATCATGTAAATATCTCACCACGTCATATCATAGGACTGAATAAGGTAGTGGAATTCTTTAATATAGACATCAGGATCAGAGAAGAAAGAGCCTAAGCATTTTTCAATTTGAGAAAGATCAGAGAAAGAGAAGGGGACAAGTACTCTAAATTTTTTTTGGTACCAGGGATCAAACTCGGGTCCTTGTGTTTGGGCAGCAGGCAGTGAAACCACTGTGCTAAATCCCCGGCCCGGGGACATGTTCTTTAATAATGCCCTTGGTCCCGGCGACCTCTTGGAGAGGCATCTGTGTGGCTGGGGCCAATGTTGGAAGGGTGGGGTAGTGAGAATGGGTGCAGGGTGGGGAAACGCAAGTCGGCAGAGATGAGGGAGGGTCACAAGATGGTGGAGGTGAAGAAGCACCAGAGGAGATGAAAGAAAAGCTGACAGGGTTACAGAATGGGCGAGGTGTGAGCTATGAGTGATTGGCTGGATCAAATGTGTCAGAGTCAGGAAGGGTGGAGTCAGGAGGGGTGGATGACGGAATTTGGGCTAGAAGTAACTGAGAGGGTGAACAGGTTTGACAGGAGGGTCGAGAGTGTAGGTAGAGAAGGCTGCCATTTTATGTAGCAGCCATCTTAAGGCAAGGGAAATCTAACGTTAGGTAACCAGCATAAACTCACAAATATATTTAAAAAGATTCTGCAAATTTCAAGAAGTAAATAGCACAACTTCATTGAGACAGAAGTAGAAATTGCTAAATCAATAATACATAGGCAGGGAGAGGAGGCAGAGAAGAGAAAAGATGACTATGGCTGGATTTTATTACTTTGTTTTTTTTTGATACCGGCTATCAAACTCAGGACCTTGTGCTTGCGAGGCAGGCGGCAGAACCACTGAGCTAAATCCCTGGCCCTTACAGCTGGATTTTAAAGGGGAAAAGTAGGCGATGAATCTTGGACAGGCCAAAGCCAATTTTGAAAAAGAAGAAAGGCGGAAAGAACTTAAACAACTTCGAGGTTAGGATACATGGATGTTACCTGATGTGAATGAGCAAATCGAACAGTTCTCAAAGGAGCATTCTCTGAAGAAAAAGAAGGAAAAAGAAAAGCATTCAAAAAAAGAAAAGAGAAGAAAAAAGAGCAAGAAACAGAAATATGAAGTGAATCAAGTGATAGTTCATCATACTCCATTTTATAAAAAAACCATACAAGGTACTGGCAAAGAAGCAGACCTGAGGACCAGTGGAACAGATTAGAAGATGAAGAGACACTCAGCCACCTCATCTTCGACAAAGGAGCCAAACACCCTCACTGGAAGGAAGATAGCCTCTTTAATAAATGATGCTGGAAAAATTGAGTTTCAACTTGCCAAAGATTAAAACTATGCCTATATCTCTCAACATGCACTAAACTAAAATCTAAGTGGATCAAAGATCTAAATATTAAAACAGAAACACTAAATCAGCTGGAAGAGAGGATAGGTAAAACTCTTAAAAACATTGGTGTAGGAAAAGATTTTATGAACAAAACTTCAGTTGC